GTTGAAGTTTTCGCCAGTGTAAAATTACTAGCCAATAATGTTATCGCTCTTAACCAAGCACGCATCACTTCAAAGAACTTTCTTTTAACAATCCAAGAAAGCTAAGTATATCTCTTCGTCTAAAATTTGAATGTATGCAACTGTATATCCCTTCTGTAAACAACGAATTCTTTTACCTTTGTTTTAAACATTTTTTTTAATATTATTTTGTAGCAGTTCATTTAATCTATCGTATGAACATTTCCCCTTTATGAAAATTCGTTAAAACTACGTAGTTTTTTTGTTGTTTGTTTAAAAATCTGATTTATATTCCCGAAACGATCTACTGACATAGCATCAAGCGTGTAAATTCGTAAATAAATTCCTTATCGTGTTTTGTTAAAATTAACTGTTTCTTCGTTGTTATCATCCTCCATTAATTGTCTTGGCGTGGGTAAATAAACTTTTCATTTTAACTCCAAAGCCCCACCCCACTATAAACCAACTACAGTGTAACCCGGATATAAGAGAAACCCGGATATAAGAGAAATTTTCTCTGGTCCCAAATTAACCCTGGAATATAAAATAGACCAAACCCGGATATAAGAGAAACCCGGATATAAGAGATTTTCCCCAAATTAGAGCCTGTGTTAATGTATATAAATAGACCAAACCCGGATATAAGAGAAACCCGGATATAAGAGAAATTTTCTCTGGTCCCAAATTAACCTGTGTTAATATCCAAACCCGGATATAAGAGAAACCCGGATATAAGAGAAAACTTATATCCGGGTTACACTGTATAAGGAAATATTTATTATTTACCATTTCAATTGGCAGTTAGCTGATCCAGTAAATAATATAATGACTAGTGTAAATAAATAATCTCTTATAAATAAATAGTGTTTATTATTTTTTGTTGTCAATTCTGAAGAACAAAGAAAAATGTATAAATTTACTTTCATCATATGTTTAGGTTTTACTAAAATTCTAATCATCGCTTTTTAAAACAATAAACATTAGCGAAGACTGAGGAAGTTAAAAAAAAAAGGTATCATGGGGAAACCGTCCCTTTGTAGTGGGCCGTATGTGTGTGTACACGTTGTGAAATGAACACGCGTATCTCCTGAAATAGGGCCCACTACAAATATGGCAGGCTCAAGATGAGTCCACCCAAAAGAAATGTAAAAAGAAAACAACTAAGACCGATATATATATATATATATATATATATATATATATATATATAGTGTAACCTGATATAAGAGACCCGGATATAAGAGAAACCCGGATATAAGAAAGATTTTCTATGGTCCCAAATTAGAGCCTGTGTTAATGTATATAAAATAGACCAAACCCGGATATAAGAGAAACCCGGATATAAGAGACTTCTTCTCCGGTCCCGACAACTCTTTATATCCGGGTTATTACTGTATATATATATATATATATATATATATATTTGTTGACTGATGTGAGTTTGTGACCCTGGGTTTCACGCTTTTTTTATGATCGTCAGACAAACTGATTCATTTTTAAAAATTTTGGGTTTATGTAGATTGCGTGTATTAGTGTTATTATGGGAGTGGGGGGAATCGTCGTCGTGATGTCATTGTGCTAACGCAAACATAGATGCATGTCCGTACACCCGATGAGTTACGCAGACATACATACACACTGGCTCGTCCGCCGGAACTCATACAGATATAGACATATGTGGACAGTTTGGGATTTGACATATGTATGTGTATGGGTGGTGTTGTGTCTATACATACGCATTTGTATGCTGAAATTCAAAGATTGGAAGTGTAGCGAAAATTTCTCGTTAATGTCTCGTGAATGTATACATGTCAGCAATCAGAGAATTTTTCGATGTTTTCGCTGAATAATATTTCCTCGCATGCACGTATATACGTGTGGTGGGGTCTGTGTAAAATTATGATACGTCAAAATTACTATTATTTTTATTTTTAATTTTTTAAAAAAAGTTTATTTGTTATTATTTTAAAGCTGGTTATTTGCTTGTTCTTTATGACTGTGTATATGTAACTGGTAGAAATTTCGGTTTGTAATCCTTATTGGTTATTTTTATGGTGGTATTAAATATGCTGGGGGGGGTAGTTTACGTTAATAATGATATCGGTTTTATATGATAATAGTAGATGTGATGTGATAGTAATGTAGTAAGGGGATTAGTGCCAATGATAATATAAGTAACTAATAGTTATTGTAAATTGGTAGAAGTGATTAGTAATGGTGGTGGGAGAATGATAAAAACAATAAATGTAATTACTGTGGTGGTAGCTTGAACTAAAAAGTGATTGTTGATGTTTTATTTTATTTTGTTATAGATATTAATTTGTCTTGGTATAAATCCTGATAATAGGTAGTCTGTGTAAAATTATAATGGTTGAAAATTGCTATAATTTTTATATTTAATTTTTTGAAAAAAATTATTTATTATTTTAAAGCTCTATCTCTGATATTGAGCGCTTTCTAATAAGTACCGCGCATATAATATATAAATAATTATATATATATATATATATATATATATATATATATATATATATATATATATATACAAACAATTTTTTGTGTATTAACAAACAAACGGATACAAATTGCAAAAAAACAATAATGTGTATATGTAACAAATAATTGTGAAAAGTTTGTGTTCCAAGAAATACGTGAGTGAATGTTCGTACGTACGTGCGTGTGTGTGCATGTATGTTTCACAACGTTTCCCCAAGGAAATGCATAGCGCCCCTTCCCACAAAGGAGAAAACGCAATCTTCTGCGAGAGCCTACATTGTCGTAGCGTCCACTGAAAAATGAAAAGTGAAAATGAGAGCGTCCCCTAGGAACAATTTGGACAATTAGAAAATTAAGGAGGAGTTAACTCCGACACTTTTGACACACCATCTTATTGCGAGAACGTTTCTCCATGTTTGCACAGTATTACTTAATTGGACATAGAGCATCATACAGTGAAGAAGAAGAATCTGTTGCGCCAAAGGATATTGTGTTTGAATCAAAATTTCAATCTGTTTTCTTCAAAAAATTATAAGAAATATTTTGACGTACTTTCAGATCTTCTTTACAACTATTAGGTTGGAAAGAAAGTCTTGTCGTATTTGAAAGAAGGAAAAAAAATAAAGAAATGCTTCTTTGGTCGTAACTGATATATTTAATCGAGATAATCCTCTCATTACATAATCTCATCTACTTGATAAATTGTTGATCCCGCGGGCGCAAAACACTTGAAGTTCCGATGCAAATAAATGCTCGATATCAGTTTTAACTTCTTCACAATTAATAAACTGTTTTCGCTGTCAAATGCATAGCATATGCGTACTACTTCTGAACCTCTCAACCGTTCAGGGGGAGCCTAATTGAGGGCTCTGGGCTGTGTTTTATGACCCTCGCTATCTTCTCAACATTTGCTTTTTCTACTTACATTTATATACGTTACAAATTAAACTAAGCACAACTGACAATTAAAGGATGAACAATTTTCTTGGATTTTGATGTAATTCTGAGTTCTTTATTGTCGAAATGCGTGAATTTGTTTTATTTATGCTAAGTCTCGAAAAAACAGTATATAAAATTATCTATTTTTATCTATAAAATTGAGCTTTTTATCAAGAAAAACTTCAACTTGATGTTAATAACTAAAACTACAGCATTGTCGATCTTGACAAGGACCAACAATTTGTGATATCAGATTTGCCATGAGGCGCTTTTAGGTCGAGAATTGATTCCTGTAGTACACGAATATGCAATGTGATTGGCCCTGATCTCGTCGCCTCCCTCTGTCTTTTCTACAAATACTTTCACGGTAACTGCTTCGGCGAACTAATTTCGCTAGTTCCCAGACTGCAGGAATTTAAACGTGCTACTCGGCTGGCATCTCAAAACAGTTAAATGTAGCCGTCTCTTCTACTCCAATAGCTTCATGTCTCGCACCTCCTGTCTGTGGAATTTCCTTCCTATTATTTGTTTCCCTGATAGCTATAATCTCCAACTATTCAAATGTAATGTCAATCGACATCTCCAGATGCCTTGATCTATTCTCTGTCTTTCTCTTCCTCCTTTCCTCTATCACGCCTCTTTACTCTCGCTCCCATTCTCTGTAACCCCTCGCGTGCTAACGGCATCCCGCCTTGCTTGGGGTGAAATGCTTAAAAAAAAAAAAAAAAAAACAGGACCGGTGCATACTACCCTCGACCTCCGACTCCAGACCGGGGGTGGGGAAACTGATTGAGAGCCCCAAGCAGTACTTTTTGACCCTCGCTATCTTACCAATATTTGATTTTTTTTCTAATTACATTTATATACGTTACAAATCCAAGTAAGCGCAACTGACGATTAAAGTATGAAAAATGGTTGCAGAATGTGACGTCATTCTGGGGTCTTTTTTCTTTTTTTTTCATTCAAATCCATGAATTTTTTTTTTTTTTTTTTTTTTGCTCATGCTAAATCTGAAAGCACACAATTTAAAATTCACTATTTTTTATTCATAATACTGAATATGTTGAAATTCTTCAACTTTTTAACAAGAAAAATCTCAAATTGATGTTAAAATCTGCAACAAAACATTATTGATTTATTTAAGATGGAATGATCTATTATGGGATGTCTCTATTTAGATATATTGCATTTATTTTCATATTTTTCTAGTTAAATTGTTCACCTATATTACATTATTCTACATAATAAGGTCACAATAAAATTTGTATTTTATGAATACAACCTTATGATAATTTAGATATATTAAAACGAGGAGTCTCGTACCATAGATTCGGGGGTCTATAGTAGATTCAGGGGTCTATAGTAGATTCGGGGGGTTATAATAGATTCGGGGGAGGGCTATAATAGATTCGGGGTTGGGATGCGCGAGACCCTTGCACAGGCCCTGTTCAAATGTTGCAATAATCTGAAAAGATGATAGTCAGATAGAGCAAGATCAGGATATGAGAAACAAGTAAATATCTAATACGGATATTGACCGTTGGCGCATGCGGGTATTTGAATATGGGTCTATAACTCAACAACATAAAGATCAAAGATCAAAATTTAGCTCCTAATTCATGATATTTCATTTGGCGCTAATCAGCAGAAAACTATAAGATTAATAGCTTTAAAATTATGAATTGATTGGTTTTGTAAATTTATTTAACAAGGTTTTAATTAATTCGGCCATTTTTCTGACATTGCTCTATGTTCCGTTTCAGTGAATTGATTTTTTTCAGTGATTGATTGGGTGTGATAAAGCAAAATCAAATAATAAAAAAATCGCCCGGAATACGCTTTATAATCGCCCGGAAACGCATAAAACGCAAAAAACATCTTTTGAAGTAATATATCATAAATCATTCGATTACAAAACCTTTCGATACAGCCTTTTATCGTGAGGAATTCTTTGTATTTCCTATCCATAAAAGTCGATCTCACTATTAATCAAACTTAATTTGAAAATAAATATATTTGATTCTTCAAGCACCAACATTTTTTTCCCGAAAAATCAAGAATTTCATTCTATATTTTTTAAATCTCTGGCAGGAAATTCTCTCTCTCTCTCTCTCTCTCTCTCTCTCTCTCTCTCTCTCTCTCTCTCTCTCTCTCTTACACGCGCGCACACACACACACACACACACAATTTCTCTTTCTCCCTCTTTCTTTATCTATCTATCTATCTATCTATCTATCTATCTATCTATCTATCTATCTATCTATCTATCTATCTATCTATCTGCAAGGGGCTGTTGAAAAGTTTTCAGCTCAACCAAAAGAGGTATAAATAAATCAGGTGTTTAGTCATTTAGTCAGATTTGGGGAAATGCGCCATGACGAGAACTTTTCAGCACTGCGTTGAATCTATCAGATAGATAGATCTAACTATCCCATCCATCTATCTATCTATCTATCTATCTATCTATCTATCTATCTCAGTCTGTTCATCTATTTATGTATTTCAAACCGTTCTTTTATCTATCACAGTCTATTCATCTATCTATTTATCTATCTCGGTCTGTTTATCTCCATCTCATCTGTCTATCCATCTATCCATCCATCTATCTCTCATCCAGTCTGTTCACCCATCTCAGTCCATCCATCTATCCATCTATCTATCCATCTCCATCTCAGTCTGTTCACCTATCTCAGTCCATCCATCATCCATCCATCCATCATCCATCCATCTATCCATCCATCCATCCATCCATCAGTCTGTTCCCACCCATCTCAGTCTATCTATCCGTTCATCTATCTATCCATCTATCCATCATCTATCCATCTATCTATCTATCTATCTCAGTCTGTTCACCTATCTCAGTCCATCTATCCATCTATCTATCTATCTATCCCAGCCTGTTCACCTATCTAGTCTATCCATCCATCTATCTCATCTATCTATCTATCTATCTCAGTCTGTTCACCTATCTCAGTCTATCTATCCATCTATCTATCTATCTATCTGTTCATCTATCTCAGTCTGTCTCATCCTATCATCTATCTATCATCTGTTCATCTATCTCAGCCTGTTCACCTATCTCATCTATCTATCTATCTATCTATCTATCTATCTATCTATCTCAGTCTGTTCACCTATCTCAGTCTATCTATCTATCTATCTATCTATCTATCTCAGTCTGTTCACCTATCTCAGTCTATCTATCTATCTATTTCTCAGTCTGTTCACCTATCTCAGTCTATCTATCTATCTATCTATCTATCTATCTATCTATCTCATCTGTTCACCTATCTCTCATCTATCTATCTATCTATCTATCTATCTATCTATCTATCTCAGTCTGTTCACCTATCTGTCTCTCTGGCTCCAGTTCTCTCCAAACACTACAACTATTGGCTCGCCGATTCTAGCTTTCCAGCCTGTTGGAAGTCCCCCTCTGTCGTCTCAGTCTTTATGGGCCTATCTAACTACGATCCCATCAGTCTCCTACCACTCTTCAGCAGAGTCTTCGAGACTTTAATCAATGCCGAAATAGTTAAGCATCTCACCTCCCACAACCTGTTCTCAGACAAACAATATGGTTTCCGCTTTGTCCAGTCTACTGCTGATGTGCTTACGGCCATAACTGAATATGTATACCAAGCTCTTGATAATAGCGGCGAAGCTCGAGCAGTTGCTCTAGATATATCGAAGACGTTTGACATGGTTTGGCATGCTGGCCTTCTAAGTAAGCTTCAGGGATACGGTATTACACGACGATTATTTAATTTAATCAAATCATTCCTGTCTAATCGTGAAATGAAGGTTGTTCCGAAAGGGTTCTCTTCCAGTTCCTTCCATACGAACGCTGGTGTTTCTCAAGGCTCTATCCTTGGTTCTACGCTGTTTCTGATCTTCATTAGTGATCTTCCTGACATCACCAGTTCTCAAGTCGGCACTGCCATTTACTTTTGTCTCAATATTAAATGCAGCAATACTGACAAAGTTAACCTGGCTGTTGGTCTCGAAAACGACCTCAAATCTGTGGTTGACTGTGACAGGAAATGGCTTATGAATTTTAATGCACCCAAAACGAAACTGCTGATATTTACTCGCCAAAGAGAAAACTCCTTGCCTCATATCAGCATAGTTGATGCTCAACTCAACGAGAACGCTTCACTGTGCCTTCTTGGTCTCACGTTCTCCACTAACCTGAGGTGGAACAACTACATTGAATCAATTGCTGCATCTACCGCAAGGAAAGTTGGTTCTTTGTGTCGCGCCAGGTTTTTCTCATCTGAGTCAATCTTTCACATCTACAAATCTACGATTCGTCCATGCATGGAATATTGTTGCCATATATGGTCTGGTGACCCCGCTGTTCATCTCGAGGTTCTCGACAAAATCCAAAAACGGTTACGCAATGTGATCGGCCCTGACTTGTGGTCTCGACCCCAGTCACTTTCTCACCGATGACATATGGCTTCCATCTTTCTTTTCTATAAATATTTTCATGGCAACTGCTCTGACAAGCTATTTTCACTGGTGCTTCGACTGTTTGAATTTAAGCGTACTATTAAGTTGGCATCACGGTCCCACCTTTTTACAATCGAAACAGTTAAATGTAACCGCCTCTTCTACTCCAACAGCTTCTTCTCTCGCACTTCCTAACAGTGGAACTCTCTCCCTCTTACGTGCTTCCCTGATGGTTATAATCTTCAAATGTTCAAGTGTAATGTCAATCGACATCTTCTGTCCTTGATCCTCGTTCTTCTTTTTATCCTCCTCCGTTCTGCTTTTTTTTCCTCCCCTAAACCCCACCTATACTCGATCTTGTACAAATTACCCAATGAGATAAAAAAACGTCTGGTTACATTCGATGCTTAGATGACCAAGCTAGTAACATTCCATCGTCGTTGATCTGTCCCCGAACTACCATCAATCAGGTTGAACGAAAGTCCTCTCGAGGAGGCACCGTGACTTGAAAGACACCCGATCTCAAGTTGAACTCGTACATACGATCCATCGGTAAGAATGTAGGCAAAATGGTCGGCTCCCTGTTCCACTCCAATAAGTACCTGACTTCTTCTGCCATCCCCTAACTTTGCAAAAGCTACATCAGGACAAAAATGGAGTACTGTTGTCATATTTGGGCGAGCGCTTCCCAGACCTCACTCTCCAGCCTTGATAGAGTCCAAAATTCTGAGTCCTTGTGGGTGACGAATTATTCTCTACCTTTCAACCTCTCTCCCACGGGCTACCGCTACTTCCATGCAAAGTGCTCGTGACGAACTATATTCCCTGGTCCCACTATGTCAAAACTTTACGCAAGAACACGCCATGCCACTTTGTAGCAAACAACGCGCAATCCCTCCATATTCCATCGTTCACTGAATAGAAATCACTGCCCCCGTTCCCAGCAGGATGTTTCCCTGAATAGCTTCTTTTCCTTAAATCCTGCCACGGTTAGGGTACCATTATCTTTGTTACCATCCACCCACCTCTCACAGAATGGACTGATCTTCTACTACTAATAGGACAGTTCTATAGAGTTTTGGGAGATCAGGTGACCATCACACTTCCGTCTTACCGGAAGATACAGTTGGACTTTTATACTTTTTCTGATTGTTACACTAACCTGCGTTCGTTTGACTACTAATCTCTCTGTTGTAAATACCTCTTCAGATATACCAGTATTTTTTCCATGTGTTTTCCTTATTTCAATACACGCACGGGGGAAACACTCAACATCTCAACAATCTTCCACTCCTATCAGAAAATGGACTCTTAACGTAACCATCTACCTTGAGTGACGCCGGGCCTTGTAATGGGTAAGCTACAGTAATATATATATATATATATATATATATATATATATAAAAAAACTCGTAAAAATAAGAATTTTCAAGATATAGAAACAATAAATCTAGTATTATCTATTATATTGTTGTTTTGTGGTGTTGATCACACGAGAGACGGTAATACTAAAATTGTGAGTTTTAGTTCACCGAATAATGAAAGATACATTTCTTGTATGTTTTATAGATATGTGTAATGAGTAACCAGATAATTTAGTTTGAAAAATACTATAACCGTGTAGGTTTTTTTTTACCTCGAATTTTCGTTGAGTGCTAAAAGATAAATCTTACTATTATGGTCTAAAAAAGGAAAAAGAGAAGAAATTTTTTTGACGCACGTTAACGACGTGACCGTTAAACTGGTTGTCCGATAATGAGAATGTCACTTGTTTGTGTGTGTAGAGGAGAAAAGTAGGTCGATTCTCATTAGTTTAGAATGAGTGACTTAATGATAATTATAATTGTTATAATTATTTTATCATAATTATTTTTTTACACTATAATTAATTTTTATTTTTTATGGACACGAAAAATACCTGTAAAGATACTATCGAATAGATAACAGTATGTGTTTATAACTTTATTCAATACATTCTTACACACATAATGAGATGTTTGACCTTTTCAATAAGTATATCAATTTTTGATTTCGTATGTCGAAATTGGACCATTAAAATTTTTAAAATCATTGGTAAATATCATCCTGGTTATTTATACGAGAATATTAAAATCCAAAAATCAGGCAATCTTCTCCGCGCTATATTGTCACAAATCCCTACACCTACATATCAATTATCAAAAACTTTAAAACGATTAACCATCTCGTATATCAATTAGTCAGTTATGTGCTGTGCATGACACACGCTGAGGCGATCATGTATCTTTCTATACATGACTGACAAGGCAGATTTTTCCCCGCAGTAGGTTGCTTTTTCTTTCTGCGGTAGACCAGTTGCCATCCAAGTCCATAGTTGGGGGAGAAGAGATAGATTAATGCCTTAGATTAATGCGTAAGTGAATCTAACGAATTCGACTGGAATAGTAGTCCGCTTAAATTCATAAAGGCATAGCTGGGAGGAGAAGAAGATGATTCATACCTTTCCCAATGGTATTAGCACGTAAGTGAATGTAATAGATTCAAGTGAAATTCGAACTCGGCTCTCCGATTTCTCAATCCGAGCTGCTATCCATTACTCCACCTACCGAATATAACTTCAGCTCTACTAATGAATTTTTCTTCAAATTCTTCACTCCAACAAACCTCAGAATTACATTTTAGCAGGTTGAAAAATGTGTTCACTTACGCTCCAGTCCATGAAACAACATTATTTTAATTAACATTTATAACCGTTCTCCTCTGCCACCTCTGAAAATGAATCCCACAATATTAAAATATATATATTAGCGTCCACAACACAAGTTCCTTGCCACGATTACTTTGGTAATATTTATACGCAGACTGACGGAGTCGCTATGGGCAGCCCTCTCAGCCCCTTATTTTCAAACTTTTATTTGAACAACAAATATTCAACAAAATAAATAAACCAGATATACCGATGACAAAAAACTTTTGAAAAAAATTCCGTTTTAAAGTTCACTCATGAATTAAATATCATTTTAAAAAATCACATATTTAGATATTCTCATTTACTATAACAGTGATGACAGGAGGCCATACAAGGCTATTTATCTGGGGGGGGGAGAAAGAAATGGCAACCCACTGCAGAAAAAAATCTACCTAGTCAATCATGTATCGAAAGATACATGATCGCCTAAGTGTGTATCACGCACGCCATATAACTGACTGATAACAGTGATAATTTTACCACATCTCTGTATAAAAAGGCTTCTTCTTTACGTACCGTGTCCCTTTAGAACGTAGACGATCATAGCTCTCCACATGTTTTTCGTAACAGTTAATAAATTTTGTCTTCTTGTTATTTCTCCAAAATCTTGTTTCGCCATCCATTTACTCATGCTCAATTAGGTTATAAGTTGTTTTTCTCTTGTCTTCAATATGTCCTGTGAGTATCATATTTTCCAAGCCTTCTTTCCTCATTATGTACCCTAGACATTTCAAATATATCTTCCTAGTTTTCTTTATGTTTCCATTTCCATTCTAACTTCGTCGTTTCTCACATGTTCAGTCCATCGTATATTCAGCATCCTTCTGTAGAACCACATTTATGTTGCTTCAAGTCTCTTCTTCATCTGACATATAGGAGGACTGATGTCACGTAACAGTTCAGTACTCCAGTTCTAACTATTGCCTTCTAAACTACAGCTGTGAATTCCATGAAAAATATAAAACTGATGTCATTAATAACCCAATCCAAAGAACTAAATCTATTTCCTCATTTAAAATAATTTTCCTTAAAGAAACAAACATCTATCAATCATAAAAACTAGCCATAAACATAATATCGGCAATAAACTTATTAATATACATTACCAAAATCATATGCACCACAATTACAAAAAAAGACGAAACAGTAAGAAAAAAAC